ATATATATATATATATATATATATATATGGGTCAAATGTTTGAGTTGCTTTTTTTCCATCAATATAACATGCAAAATATTTCAGCACATAACTTTTTCAAATGAGAAATACAACAAACAGTACAAAACGGCATCATCATCTTCCACTCAATAATTACTTCATTAACATTTCACAGTGAATTACTTTCTATTTCCTCTATTTTCTAACGTTAGACCCAATGTCAATGTTTAACTCAGTCAATGTTTTCCAGTCAGTCCCTGATAGCCAGACTAATGTTAGTCTCCAGACTATACTATAGGATCCATCGGCTATAGATGAATTTATTGCTTAGTTCGTCCACTGACTGTGGAACGTCTTCCTGCAGACAGAAAACTGCTGGTTTATGCAGCCAAATGCTGCACAGGGAGGCATTTTACTGCACGTCTCTGTGGGAGTGGGGAGTACCAAGATGGCGGCTGGTGGCTTCACTTTATTCGGGCAATCAGCAATCCAGTGAATAGAGATCAGCGCTTTTAGTCCTATTTAGGTGGAAAACGAACAAAAAATAAATGGATTGGATACCTTAGTCCAGTTAGTATTGAGCCCCTGTGGTTAATTTCCGAAAACAAAGATTGAATTAAGAAAAGATGATGCCGAATTAATGACTTACGAGTTTAAAAACTCCACAACAGTTGCCATAGAACCAAAATTATTAAGCAAAAGCTGCTTTGCTGAAAGTAATAGAAATGATTTTTCATGGAGAATATAGAGCAAAGAAAATCATTTATGGGATATGATTGGAAACTATGACAGATAATGAATATATGGAAAATAACAGAAGGGAAAATTAAAATGACTCCTAATTTATCTCGAAGGCAGGAAGGGAACGATGTTTGTGGATCCAGAACATAAAGCTTATAGAGTGGCTCAGGTTATCCTGAGCTATCTCTATAGTTATGCTGCTATAGGCTTAGACTGCTGGAGGACATAGGGACCCCCCCTCATTCTATCACTATTCTTAATTTCTATATTTATATTCTGATTTTTCTCAACATAAAAGCTTCCTCTGGTCTGGTTGTTTATCTGTGACTCCATCCTGGGAGTCCATTACTGGAACAAACTGGATGTGTTTATTTTCCTACATGAAAACTGGATCAGATCTCGGGTGATTAACTGTTTCATTTCCAGAAAGAG